ATCGAGTAAATTATACTAGTAACACAGTCATCTTCAGTTTTGAACTGAAAAATTCATCGAATGACAGAGTTAAACCCTGAACCACATCAGCAGAATGGAATATGAATAGAGCTCCCAGCGACTTGTAGAATAAGATATAGTACAGTAGAATAGTAGGTCATGCATATCGATGGAGTATTAACAGAATGGTATCGAATTCAAACTCTATGGTGGTTTAATTTTTTGCATGATTGCGGTCTATTCTTAAACTCACTCAGTAAAACGTAATAGAGATAACTACAATGTTAGATGATTTTCCTCGTTCCTTGTTGTAATTCTAATGAACTAGAAATCGAACATTTTGTTGACTTTAGTGTATTGCTGTATATGGGTACCTTCATCTTAAACATGATTATACTTGATTAGAAGCTAAAGGATCTAGTGAGTTGATTAGATACCTTGTACATCGGTAACCTTTATAGTATATTTATCTGTTATAAATTAACCGTGAATAGGTCTTTAAAATGCATAATCTTTTCCGTTTTCATCAAATTAGATTGCCTTGGAATTTTTCTATTGACTAGAAAAAAAATCTGAACTCGATGGCTAATAAATTTGATGAGTTATTATAAAAACAATAGTGCCATTATCTTTTTTAGATCCATGAGAGTTTGTTCTCAAAAGGCATGTCATTTTTGTACAGAGTAAGTTGATAAGGATAACGAGAAGAGAGATGTAAGAGAGTTTTGTAACCATATACTTAGGACAATCCAAAAGTAGTGTCGTCAAGGTTTTATTTTCTTATAGTAAGCAAAAAAAATTTCTCTTTTTTATAAATAGATAGAGCGTCTTTTGCTCTATCTTTCTATGCTATTGGATCGATCTTCACTCAATACTAGAATAAAAAATCTTGATAAGAACTGTTTTCGTTGGAAGCTGGCTGGTTGCATTACATTATATCATCATTCGTGCATGCTCTTATTTCATTCTTTCCTTGTTTTTCCTCGTTTTGACATGTAATTAACCGAGCAGATATTTCAGTGTGCAAAATGTGATAATGATGCAAAATAAAAAAAAAACAGAAAGAAGTTCAACTAATGTCTATTTCATCAAATGTTCAAAATAATCGCCTTCATTATCCACACACAACTGCATTCTTTGAATCGATTTATCGAAAGGCTTTTTTATATTCTTCTTTGCTCAGAGAGTACATAAACTCCGTCATAGCATTACCTAATGATTCTGAATCGTTTTGATATGTCAGATTTTCTTTGATTAAGTCGAATAACCAAAAGTCACACGGTGTTAGATCTAGAGAATTAGGCGGATGTGACATTATTATAATGCCATCCGATTCAAGATAACTGGTCACATCTTTATGAACATGTGACCTTCCATTATCGTGATGAATTATAATATCACGAATAGCACGAGACGGTCTTTGACATTTGATTTCCTTCGACGAGAGGTCGCAAATAATTCTTGATATAATAATGGTGATCAATTGCTTGTCCCCTTCCCATATGATGAATAAGGACAGGACCATTTGACTTAAGGAAAACGGAAAATAATGTTTTTGGAGCAAACTTACTGCGTCGAATCACAATAGGTGGAGGATCTCCTCATGCCACCCACGCAGCGTTTGATGACAAAACCATGACTCGTCACCAATTATTACATCACATAAACGCCATGTTCCTTTTTGGAATTTTGCTAAATTTTCCTTGCATATTCGAACTCGCTCTGACCGTTGAAAATCATTCAGATCTTTGGGTACATAACAAGCGGTAAGTTTTCTAAGCTTTAGATGATCCGAGATGATTCGCTAGACAGTTCCATAACGTAAATCAGTTTGCTCCTGCACTGCTTCAATTGTATTATAAGGATCATGGTCGATTAAAGGGCGAACTTATCCTATATTTTCAGCTGTAGTTTCAGTGATTGGCCTTCCAGATCTTAATTCATCTTCAATTTCTTCTCGCCCTTCACGAAACGATTTAGACCATCTTTGAACTGTTCTAAGAGAAGGAGCTTGACCACCGTAAACAGAAGATAATTCATTATGAATAGTGCTTGGTGGAATGTTAAGTTCGGTGCGCACTTTAATATATACGTGAAATTTTTCTGTACTCATCTGAAACAAATAGACACCGTTAAGGCTCAATCCAACTTAATTCTTTTGGTAATTTCAAAAATATTGCAGCAAACTATACATGTACACAAAGAAGATAAGACATGACGTATCTGTTAACATATATGTATGCATTGACGACTAATCACATGGCAAGACGAGAAAAAACAATAAAAAAGATAAGAGAAAAACAAGGAAAGAACGAAAAAAAAGCATGCAAGAATGATGATATAATGTAACGCAATCAACCAGCTTCCAATAAAAACAGTTCTTATCAAGATTTTTTATTCTAATATTGAGTGAAGATCGATCAAATAGCATAGAAAGATAGAACAAAAGACGCTCTATCTATTTATAAAAAAAAGAGAAATTCTTTTTTTGCTTACTATAAGGAAATAAAACCTTGACGACACTACTTTTGCATTGCCCTAAGTATATCTCAAGATTCATTAAACAATAAAATCTAATCTAGATTTATGTCTTCTCCTGTCAAGAAATGTCATGTTCTAGATCAGCTCAAACCACTGTCTCGAACGGCATACCTTGCATCAGAAACCTTTTCCACCAGAGCTTATCTGGAGTAAAGCACACGGAAAGATTTTTCGAAAGACATCAGACTTCAAGAGACTGCGAAACTACATGAGCACCCAACAAACCATAGAAATTGCATTAAAATTCTGACCATGTAAAACACACTACCGATTAGATAAAGGTAACAAAAGAGTTTCCTTTCGTTGTCAAATTCTTTTTTTTCAAATATATATAATGTTGGGACCTGTTAAGGTGATTACTACTAAGTTTAAATACCTGACTCGACATATCTTCAATATTTCTAGGAAAGTGTAGATTACACATATTTTCTACAATATTTTTTGTTATCTTTCTATTAATGGGAAGTAGTATGATTTGATCTTGTTTATTAAAAATCAATGGATACATAGTAAAAACACTTGTATAAAAAAAAATGCCTTCATGAACAGATATAGTCAACCAAAAATAAAGGAATAAGACAATTGCTTGTTGATTATTGAACGATAAAGTTCAAGGTTTATCAGATGATAGACTGTCACAAATGATAGAAGCAAACAAGAAAAAGATTGAAATTCTTCATAACGTTGCCATAAAATCGATGAAACATTTCTTATAGAAATAAATAACTTCATTAAAAACTTGTAGTAAAAATTTTCAGAATACTTCATGAGACTTCACAAATGAGGTCTCTATTGTCTCTCCTCAGGGGAAATGGTCACAAACACCATAAGGAACAGATCTTTTACTTAAAAGCCAGTCAAATATGACTTTTTTTTACTCAGTTTCTGATAGAGAAAAAGAAAAAAAGTACTGTTTGAAAAATTTCAGGAATAAAATCAGTCGAAAAATTAAATTGAAACTATTACTAGTAATTTCTTTCCTGTTTCTTTTTCTGCTACAATACGATAGCAAAATCATAAACACATATATTCGTGATCTGCGCATCAAACTCTACTCAGCGATAAATCGATAAAACAAAATACGTTTCTAGTCGATTTTTGCATTGTTCACACCCTGTCATCTTGTATAAACTCTGAGGATTGAGTCTCAGAAGAAGTCTACTAGATCTTCTATATTTGATTGCATTTTTCTAGCAAAACAAGAACTCATCATATCTACTTCATATTTCTTTACCTTTAGTTGAAAAGAAATTATAAATCGTGTTGTGTGTCGCACATGTATTGTTAACGATGTGTCTTTCACCTTAGTTACAATCTCAATAATGAGCATAATAGTTCGTTCGAAGATATATTTATCTTTTTAGAGGATGAGTGACCTCTTCTGCGCATAGGCATCTCTCGTATCATACGATGAATTTAGTGTTAATTTTTTCAAAACTAACACTAGTTCGGAAGGTGAAGCCTCTTTAGATGTGGCTACATTTCTCTCTATTCTTCTAATTTGCTTGATGTGTGAAAAAGTCAAAAACAATTCCAAATCACATGAACTATTTTCTTAAGTCAATATAGAAATATGTAAATTTGTCAAATCAATATTGATAGTGCTGATCATAGCAGTTCATTCGACTGCTCAAAATATCAAAACTCAACAGTACAAACATTTCATATTTTCACATGACGCATAGAAATATGAAAGCATCCAGCATGGTAAATGTTTTATTAATTCATGTCGAAGGCAACCTCCCATTTTCTCATTATTTACGACAAATACCCAAAAAGAGACGTGTTTAGTTGAGTTGAGAAGCAGCCGATAGAATACAAGAATAATTTTCTTTTTCATATTGAATTTCTTTTTTTCTGAATGCTTGAGTTATTTCTAATCCATGAATGTTAGATGTTGCTACGGATTTATTATTATTGCTATTTTTTCTTATTCCAATAATTTACTAATGAGAAGAGAGAAACTAAAAGAACAGCATTTCTTTTGTCGATTGACTGCAATAGAAAATGAGAAAGCAGGACAAACATAGTGTAGAGGAAATAAAATCCAAATCAACTTGTAAATTGTCGGTAAGTATATGGCCGGAGAGAAGGTATAAAAGATCAACATTTATCTTGTAAAAGAGTGACTCGAGAATTCTTTTGAAAACTATTCATTTTGGTTCCATTTAACCATTTCAATCAGCTCGCAGGTTGATTGAAATGAGAAAAACTCTAAATCTCAACTAAAACTCTTAATTTTTTCGAAATTTGTGACCAAGGCTTGGCTCCTTTTCTTTTTGTATCCCACTGTGCAGTTGTATAAATAGCTAGATGAAACTAAGATAAATAGTTTCGAATAATTTTCGTGCCTAGTTTTAATTACCTGTGTGAGAAAAAAAAGGATCTTTCTATGCTACTTTTCAATCGAGACTCTTGCTTAGTTGTACGATTAAACAGTAATTCGTTCTAGTTTTCAAATGGCTTGGGAATTAGAATTAAATGCTACGCTTTTGGAAGAGTTATATATTTGGATCGACAGTATTCCGTTATCAAAGCCAAAAAAACGAATCGAACGAGATTTTTCCGATGGTAATTCAAAAAATCTTTTTTTCATCAATCCGATATGTTTTCGTTTAAGGTATCTTGGTAGCTGAAATTATTCGATATTATTTACCTGATCTGGTCGATATGCATAATTATACACCGGCAAATTCATTTAATCAGAAAAAGATCAATTGGGGCATATTAAATAAGAAAATTTTGTGTCTTCTAGGGCTTGATGTGCCCGAAAAAATCATTATTGATCTATGTAATGGAAAACCAGGTGTAGTGGAAATATTTTTATTTCATTTAAGGTTAAAAATAGATGAAGAAATCGAAATAAGACAGAAAGGAGAACGACAACATATGTCTTCACCACGGCAATCATTGCTTGCATTGAATAGTGTTAACCCAAAAAAGGAAAACACAAATATTGTTTCTAGTCGATCATGTCGATTTAGTAAACCGATTGGTAATTTCAACAATAAATGGGTCTCACGTTTGGCTTATGAAGAGTTAAAACAACAATGCTTACAACAGGACGAAGAAATTCAAATACTTCTAGCAAAACTGCGACGATTAGAACATGTTGTTCAACTCAAAGAGATTCGTATCAACGAACTTTTATCTATGATCGAAGACACTCGACGTATAAGGCTTTGTACTGTCGGAGCTAGCAAGCAGAAAAAATAAATGAATGTCTACTACATATCACAATTAACATTCTCTTCCATGTAGATAAGCTTCAACAGTCTGAAGAAAAAATAAATACAAGACCAATACCAACTCTTATAAAATCTATTACTTATGCATACTACATAAGTGATGCTGCAAAACTCATCAGTTACTTTGTATCTTCGTGCAGATTAGAAGATTCTTTTCTTGTAGAATTTAAGAGTTAATGAGCTTTTTTGGATAAAATTATGATTTTCAAATAACAGGATGTATTGTAAATACAGTTTCAATACCAACAATGAGGACTTAGAAATTGAAATTTCAGCAACAACATTACTTATTAGATCTATAGTCCGATGTATAATAAAAAAACACAAGCAAACATATTGCATTAGTAATTTATCTGGAAATAGCCAAAAATGGAAAACAATAGTAACGATAGATCGACTGATCCAACGTAAACTGAAACTTTATCGATGGAAATCAGCTACAATGATAGAACTCGAGATCGAAAATGAACTAGGCATTTCATAAAGCGTTTATACAAGGCGAAAATGCATACATCAAGTAGAATTATTTGGTGTAGCTCACACAGTGAACAATTCATATGAAGTACTCTTGAAAAAAGACAATTTACAATGAAAAATCTTTCAGGCGTCACGCTGATTCGAAGCACATCTTTATATTTCTCTCAAACTGCTTCTGTAATAAAGAAAACGTAAAAAAATCTTTTAAAACCAAGGTTCTTAGCAAAACTGTATCGCAATCTATAGGTATTTCTACATTTTTGTGCTAACTGAGTGTAAGTTCCACAGATTAAAGAATACTATCTGGAAGCTTGGTCAATACTGGAATAATGGAAAAAGAAGCCGCAGTTAACTGTTACTATAGATTTATTTTTCGGAAAACGTTTAGCATAAAAGAAATTATTAGTTTTTCAGAACACAAATTCAGAGAACGAGAACGTTCATTATAAATCGGCAGAGACAGAATCCTAGTTTCAAACTATACATGATTTACTAGGTGGAATTTCAGAAATACATTATTTGCTTTAGCTGATCAAAGTTTTATATTTTTGAGATTCGACGGTAAAATTCTGATATGAAAAGTGTCATATTACATTACTGCTGGAAAACCGTTTCTCTCTAATCTTACCATAGACAGGTAATACTGTGAAGATATTTTAGAATGAAGTCTATTGATATCAATCAAAGAATTTAAACTGAGCCAGCGATGTCTTTTATGCATGAGACTCATCCATCAAGTTTCAATCCTAGAGGAGAATTTATCTGATAAAATCAAGAGTCGAATGAAAAATATCAACTACAAAATTAACCAGAACTTTAATAAATATTAATACAAGAATAGAACCGCAGTGTTTTGGGTGTTCTTAAAAATCTTTTTGATTTAGTTCTTAATCAATTCAAACAATGCATCCCAATGAACAGTTATTTAACAAAATACAAAATGTGGTTGAACCAGTTTTCATTTCTGCAACGCACTGTTTTTTGCTCAACTCAATGAATCATTTTCTGTTATAAAAATTCCGGATGTTTTTGTTAGTTGTTCAATAAATCGGAAGTTTGAAGAATTGCAAAGCTAAAAATAATAGCATAAGTAAAGGAATCACGTACGACAAAGTACTGCTTATAGTAGCTCTTGAATTTGTTCATATACGAAAACAAAAACAAAAATACCTTACAAGAAGTGAATGAATAATCTTTCGGCTCGCCGACTATAAGTCGAGATGCATCTAAAGAACATACTATGGGCTATTTAATTTCAGTCTGAATTTATCAAATAAAAATAATACTTGATTTCAAACTGAAACGTGAGTCTAGGAGTGAGGGGGGGAGTGACTGAGGGTGTGGGTGTTGATCTGGGACCCACACACACACCCACACCCATGGTGCGGGTGTGGGCGCGCGAGTGAGGGTGAGGGTGTGCTTGTGGCTTTGTGTACTATAGGCTTTAGTCCCCTGCACAAGGGACTAAGCGGGGACTAAGTTTTTTGTGGGGGGGACTAAGGGGGACTTTGCAGGACTAGGGGGGACTAAGGGTTTTTAGTGGGACTACGTAGTATCAAACGAGAAAAGTTTGATTCGGAAGAAATTGGTGCGGTTTTTTTGATTTTAGAATTCAGTTTGAAATAAAAAAGCCCATAGACTCCTTCCCATTGGGAACACCCCTGATATAATACATTGTCTGTCTCTTCAATTAGTTCATTTGATCATTTTTTTTCTTTAGTCATCTTAGGTGGAAGAAAAAAAAATACAATTACTATCAAATTCGAAAATAAATAAACAATTCTGAAATATAAAACTTCCATGAGAAATGGCCCATTTGCCACTCTCTTGACTACGCCGCTGCTTAAGTACGAGAAGACATCGAAACTAATGTGATCTTAATGTTATTGATAAATTTCAGAAAATTCATGTAGCCTACTCATTGAAAAAATATCAGATTATGGAAGGTTTTAGTAGAGTATAATCGGATTTTTCTGCAACAAAATCCAAATTATAATTGATTGAAATCTTCGAAGTCAACAATAATCCTTAAAATCCGGAAAAATTTAGATTAAAATCATGCAGTTTTGATTAAAATTATATAGTCCTGATTTGTTTCGATTATAATCCGAATTTTTCTGGATTTTAAAAATTTTCGATTGATTGAAAATCAAATTATTGTTGATTTCGAAGATTTTAATCGATTATAATTTGAATTTTGTTTCAGAAAAATCCGATTGTAATCTACTGAAGTCTTCCATCATCTAATATTTTTTCACTGTGTACTCTTGAAATACTCAGTTGATCGTATAAAAAATTAATTTACATAAATAATCCTAATGTTCCTCTATATTCCAACTGTGGGCATCGTAAAAATCGAATATCTCTCTGTAGGCAAGCATAGAGCCGCTCATATGTTAAATTTGTTAGTTTGGTGTTGAGAACTTACTTTTGATCTAAATGTATTCTATCTATCTAATTTATAACACAAACATCTCCATTGTTAGATAACTCAAGTTCCTGACGTTGCACAAAACTAAATTTCAGTTTTCGCTGTAGAACAAACATTTCTCTAAATATTCTAAATGAGCTCTATTCCGATTAAAAAACATCAGAGAAGAATTCGATGATGCTATAATCACTCTTATT